AAAGAGGGCACAGCCCCTCCCGGCCCAGGCTGGGCAGCCTGCCACCAGGCCAGGAACTTGGTGCCAGTTTCCAGGAACAGTTATTCCTCACGTCTCTTTTATGCATTTATCACATCAAACAAACGTTTTCTAGTCCTTTCTTCAAAACACAACTGAAGTCTTACAGGGCCTTCCCCCAGGGCACACCCACTCACTCACACCACACACACCACACTCCCCGGTCTTCAAGGACAAAGTGCTAAGATGTGACAACACTAGCCTTTCAGGGAAGAAGTTCTCTCTTCCCCTGACTTGTGTTAATGATTCCTTAGAGGCCAGGCTGCTTCCAGTTCGCCCCTACCTCCCCTCTCCCACTCCTGAGTTTCCAAGTTCAAATTTACTTTTCAGAGATAATGTTTGCTGGTTTCTGAAGGGGGGGGAAAGGCAGATTCTGAGTGTGGGCTTTATGCAAGTTTGAAGAACACAGATGTGCACAATCAAATGCTTTTTCCAACTGCGCTACAAGTCTGCCCAGAAACCGCCCCACCCAAGCAGTGGGGCCAGAGCACGGACCTTCACAACTGCTTTCCCTCCTTGGGGAAGGGCAGGCTGCACAAGACGGCTTCTGATCGCTGGGAGCCAGAAAAGCTGTATGTGGGTAACTAGGCCAGCCAGGCTGTGTCCTTCCTCCTCCTCCTCCTCCTCTCTGACCATTTTGCATCCCTAGAATAGCCCGCCTTCAGAGCAAGCAAGGGAAATAACAAAAACGCTATACATTGTGGTTAAAATAATTGGCATGGAATTTTGCAAATCTGGATTACAACAAAACTCTGAAATTCTCTGTTCTGCATCTTGTTTTAACAAACATGTAAAAAAAGAGAGCGCAATAAAATGTGCATTGCAAAATTACATCAGTACACTGCCTTGCGTGGTGGCCTCATCGGAATGACCCATTTCTCTCTCTGAATCTCTCCCCTTCTTCTCTCCATCACTCACCCCTGCCCCCCACCCTGCACTGGTTCCTCCTTCCATGGTCCTCAGCCAGGCCACATCTTCAGCTTAGCGCAGGCCCTTCCCTCTGGCTGGAATGCTCTTCCCCCCACCCATGGCTCAGAGGCTCAGTCTCTGCAGACCTTCTTTCAGGAAAGTCTTTCCTACCCTCCTCCCTCCCCTCTCCCCCAAATACCACCCCGCCAAGGCCCCTCCCTGACTTGTTCTCCCGACTTGTTCTCATTAGCAGATCTCACCGTGTCTCGACTGCCAGGTACACTGTTCATTGCGTTCCCTCCCTCTCCATAAGGGGGCATCCTGCCCATGCTCTTCACTGCTCTCTCCCCATCACCTAAAGCTGTCCCTAGTGCACAGTAGGTGCTCCATAACACTCAAGGATGTGTCTGTGAGAAAACACCTTTGCTTTCTTAATTTGAAAGAAAATGTATTTCCTGGTTTAAAAATGTATTTTTAAAATACATTTAAAAATGCAAAGAGGCCGTGCCCTCTTTGCTCCTTTCAACAGCTTGTAAAGGCTGGCCCTCTCGATAGCAATCAGAGCGCAAAGAGGGCACGGCGCTGTTCAAACAAGGTCAGAGGCAAAGCGAGGTTGCAGAAAGAGGCAAATGTCCAGCTGACTGCGTGCAGGTGGATGACATCCAGAGGCCTCCTGGTAATCGCCAGTCTAAAGAACTGAGATGCAGGATAGGGAGCTCAAGGTGAATCCAGGCCTGCACCTCGGCCTACAGGTGCCCAGAGATGACCAAGCCACATTCCGTGAGCAAAATAGCAGCCATCAAAAAGCCAGACACCAGTGTGCTGTACCAGAGTCAGACAGAGTCAGGAGGGTGTGCTGGGCCCTCCAGATCACAATAAAAAGGTCAAGGAAAAAGGCATGTGGCCCGCATGAGACCCTCCTCTGGAGGCTTTGACATGATTTCAGTCAATCCTCATTATTTGTCGAGTCTGTACTAAAATTTACTCATAACCCCAAATCAATACCAGTCATCTGGTGCTTCTCCAGTCATCTGTGGACATACTCGGAGTGGCAGAAAAATGGAGCCGCCCAGTGTACGTGTCCCCTGCCTTCTGGTGTCAGCGCTCGTACAGGAAACAAGTGTCCCTTACACAGCCTGTTAAGTGCCATCAGCTTTTGCACGTTTGTGCTTTCCTTGGTGATTCTGCTGTTTCAAATGGCCTCCAAGCCCAGTGCTGAAGCGCTGCCCGGTGGGCCTGAGCCCAGGAAGGCTGTGATGGTCTTACAGAGAACTCACACGTGTGTTACACAGGCTTCGTTCAGGCATGAGTCTCTGTTCTGTCGCCCGTGAATTCCACATTGGTGAATCAATAACATACACTAAGTAAGGTGTCTTTACACAGCAACGCACATGAAACAAGGTCAGGTATTGACCCGTTGACAAAAATGTGACCAGTGGCTCGCAGGACCCTAATTCAAGGTTAGGGTCTTGGGTCACAACATCTCCCCTCTGGGAGCTGTGGTTCAGGACTCACTAATTCCACGCTGACCGCCACTTTAGAGAAAACACCTCCCATAACAAACAAGGATCCACCATGTATCGAACGCTCTGCTTCCTCTCCCACACGCTTTGGCACCCTGCCCGCTGGACAAGCCCGCCGCTCCCGCCATCTGCTCCTCCGCACATGGACTCTTGCTCTGCAGGCGTCTGCTCAGATGCCGGTCACTCTCTCACTGCAGTTATTACAAGCAGCAATTATCAGCCCCCTCTGTGCACCCCCAACCGAAGTGCAAACTCGCCTTGTTCACCTATGTATCTGCAGTAGCACCCCTCACCTCAAAAATCCCTGACACAAGGTTGGTGCCCAGGGCTTGACTGACGGAGAACAGCCCGCCACAGACACACACCCACACCAGAGGCCTCTTGGTCATCACTGTGTAAACCACGCGCAAGATTTTGAAGAGTTCACATAAAAGTATCTATAAAATATCTCAAGGACTTTTGATATCTGTTCCATGTTGAAATTACACTATCTCGAACATTCGGGGTGTAATGAAGTAGACTCAAATGATTTCCACTTGTTTCATTTTACCTTTTACTGTGGCTATACTAGGGAAGCTTTGATTGCTTACCAAGCTTGCACTCTATTTGAGTACATCTTACTTACAATAATAATAGCATGGAAAGGTCAGCCAGCGACACAGACCAGCCCGGCCAACTCTCCTGGCTGCTGCCAAGTGCACCCCAGCTCAGGGGAGGAAACACCTGTCCCGTGCTTCCTGTGACACGCACACATCGAAGTGCGCTCAGAAAAAGATTTGGAAATCAGGGCTACAAAACAGGTAAAATAACTTTACCCTCAGAAGGTTACTTAAATAAGCACTACCAGAGAGCAGTGGCTGGCATACAAATATTCATTGAATGAGTAAATCAATGAGCCCTTTGGGGGGGGGCATAAAAAACCACTATTTTCCAACTTGTCATTCATACGTGGGATGGTAGAATAGGAGAGCTGGAGGGGATGCAGAAAATGACCTGGCTCTGCAGTGTCACTGATCTGAGAGGACTCTGTGCCTCTGGTGTCCTCACCTGAAGAGACAGCCCTCACCTTCCCTGTTCTCCAGGCTGGTGCCATCTACTAGAACTTTCTATGATGCTGGAAGTGTTCTCTGCTCTGTCCAACACAATAGCTATTGAGCTCTTAAAATGTGGCTACTGTGACTGAGGAACTGAATTTTTTTATATTATTTAATTATAATTAAGTTAATTTAAATTCAAGTGGCCACCTGTGGCCACGGGCGACAGCCTGACTTGAGGCTGCTGTGACAGGATGGAAGGAGATAAATCTTGGAAAACACCTTGTAAGCCCCTATAGAAATGTCAGGGCTACTGTTGTTGCTTAAGGTATTACAAATCTAAGGTGCTGAGAGATTTCAATTACCCAACAATAAGACTCCATTCATCCCAAGTGAAAAGGAATTTAAATAAACGCTCAGGTTTTACTCCCCTTGGGGGAGAAGGGCAACCAGTGCTCACAGATAACTAGAATTGCAACAGAGGGGTTACTGGCCTCATACACAGCTCAGAAAACAAGCTCACCATCCCCACTCCCCTAGTCCAGATCCGGTACCTCCAGGGCCACGGCATGGCAGGCAGTCAGAAATCAGGGCTGCCCGTGGAAGGCTGGTAGATGACACTCCTGAGATGACACTCCTGTCTCCCGCACCCTCACTCTCGGGCACCAGATGTTTCCTGCCCTTCCCGCTGACCTTCCCTGCCACACAAACAGGTCCTCCCAACAGCTCCCTGCATTCCTTCGGCTCCGCCAGTCGGCCAGTCATTCACAGCCTCTCAGATACATGCGGGGGCTGTTCAAACCTGCTGATGGATGGTAAAACCAACCACCACCGAAAAGGGATGGGGACTAATTGGTAGCTGTAAAGAACGCTAATCTGTTTACGCTCAGGTTGGAAGATGTTCATGAAATTCAAATCAAGTTCTCCTCTCTCCCAGCAGGAAAGCCCTTCCCCAGTCCAAACAGCTTTTCCTTACCATTAAGATAATTATATTCTACACACAAGCAGACATTAAAGAACTGAGCAGGGAACTAGAAGGGAGTGAATTATTAGAGCAGGGAAATAAAAAAAAAGGTTTCGATCTGAGAAAACATACATTTCCAAGTACAATATAAGGAAGCGCCCCAAAACATTGAACAGATTTATGAGCGCCTTGATTCTCCTCCATGAAAGAGTTCAGCTCATTTTCCCCTCGGCCCTTAGCTCTTCCACAGGCACACTAACTTGTGTGAAGCTCTCGGTTCTGGCCCCTTGGAGCTTCCATGATGAAACCCAGCATGTGAAATTGGATCCACATGTGTTACACCCACAAGCTGAGCTCGGCGGTGCACTCGACTCTGTCAGTCAGCAGGCTGTTGCTCAACTTCGAGGAGCGGACGCCAGCAATCACCCTTCAGCTACTAAAGCAAAATTAACCATTCTGGGGCCAGTGGGGCCAACACCACCCCCACAGGGACAGGGACCCAGTTTTCTGTACCTCAAGTTCAGTCTCCCGTCTGTTGATGTCATCCGTGGATTGGTTTAACTTCTCCAGTTCTCCCTAATGAAGAAAAGAGGGAGAAAAAGATTTAAGGGATTGTCTTTTGTTTCCGTATGACTCAGCCCCATTACCTGCAAATTCACTCCAGCGCAATTTGAGGGCAGAGGGACAAGACGGTATTAATTCTCCTGGAAAACAACAGAGCCTTGGCTGGAAGAGCAAATGAATGTCCAGATTTCTGAAAACTTTCAAATCAAAGCTTTTTGATTTGAAATGTCAAAAGGTCCTAGGAATTTGTCTTTTCTGAGAAGGTCAAATAGTTATTCCAGGTTTGTGCCTTCAGGTAAAGGCACCTGTTACAAATGGTTTAGAGACTGAATCAAAACAACAGCTTCTGCCTTACAGCAAGAACTTTGCAGAAAAGACAATGAAAGAGAATAAAGAGTCCAAGCCAAAAGTATAAACCCAGTGAAATGTTTTAATTCAAGGGCAGAATTCTGGTATTAACTTACTGGTAGTTGAGTTATTTTCTATAAAGATGAAAACCTTTTATTTTCAAACTGCCAATTATTCATTCTCTGTAGATATTTTTTAAAACAGCTTCTTAAAAAAACCCACCTTTAAATAAACATTTACAAAATGAAATGCTGTGAAAAGTACCCAATGTGAAGTTAACTCATTTCACTCTGCAAACAAAGGATCTTGTTAACAGAATTCCTGTACCAAGAAAACAAGAGAATAGTAGTTGAAACTGATTATTTTAATAAAATTTCTGATGCAAACATTTCCCACTTGATCTTTATCTTGCTAATCTGCCAAAACAATTCATTTAAATCAAAACAGCTAAGTTAAATGAGCTTTTAATTGATCTGCTCACTGAAAAACCAATTTGGGCTCCAGTAATGGCAAAACATACTTAAAAGCAATATATATATATAATTTTTTTAAAAAAACGATTTATGGAAAGGGTAGAAAAATGGGTCTTAGAAAAGGGACTTGCTGTGATTTTTGCTTGGAGGGTGAAGAGGTTAAGCTGCCACTACTCGATCTCAGCTTGGAAATTGGTTTTTAATCATCTCCCTTAGAAATGGAGGCACGGACAGCCAGGCCAATCCCCTCGCCTTCTCCCCGCGTCAGCTTCGAGCGTCAGTTATTCCCGATTTCTGTCCATACCCAACCTCATAACAAGGAAACACTGAGTTTTAAACCATCTGAGGTCAAGTGCAGGGTTGAGCCAGTGGTGACAATAAACCCTTCAGTTTGATAACAATGAATCAGAGGTGGAAGATGGCTCAGGCCGGGCACCTGCGCCAGGTGAATACTCGGAACCCAGGGCACCCGTGCCAGCCCACGCTGCAGGGCAGACAACGCCCACCCGGCGGCCGACCCCTCCTCCCAGGGCCAGGAGACGGTGCAATGCCCGCGGCCCCGGGAGCCTAGCCGGGGTACCCCCGATACCCGCATGGCGCCCCCGCCCCCTTTTTCCCTTTGTTGCACATCCACTGAACCGCTGGGCACGCTGCGGCGACCCCAGGATCCTGCCCGAAGTCTGCGGGGGCACCCCCGCAATACAGTCAGGCCGCATCCACGCGGGCACTGCAGTCTCCCCATGAACCAGGTGAAACCGAGGATTCAGACCCTCTCTTGTTGCCTCCAGACCGCAGGCACTGGGGGCTGTGAGGCGGGTCTAAGTGCAGATGCCGACCTCCGCGGCGGCCCTCGCAGAACCGGGATCGGGGCGCCCCCCGTGCGCCCTACCTGGATCCGGGGGTCCACCTCTTCTTCCTCCTCCAGCTCTTGCTCCATCCCCTCTTCCTCTTCCTCCTCCTCCTCCAAGTCCCGGGCCGACGGCAGGAGCTCAGCCGGCTCCTCGGAGAGGCTCCGCTTCAACGCGGTGTCCATGCAAGCAACCGGAACGCGAACCGCGCAGCGCACTTCGGGGCGTCGGCTGCCACCGCCGAAGGCTCGCCCGGAGCTGTCTCGCCACAGCCCAGCACGGTCCGGGAGCCGCCGCAGCCTACACTGGAGAGGCACCGTTCGCCGATGCAGTTCTCTCCGGCCCAGGCGGAGCGGAGGAAGTGGGCGCGGCCGCCCCCTGTCTGCCGCGGCCGTCAGCGCAGCGGCACCCGCTCCGCCCTCGCCCGCCGGGGCCGCCCTCTTCGCGGCTGACTCTATTACTTCTCCAGTCCCGCTTACCTAGGTCACCGTTTCTAAAACTCCAGCTCTCCGAAAACCTCTAGCATGGTGAAACAGAGGAGCCCTCACCCCTGTTCGACTTAGCAGCCCGAATATATCCCAAACTACCCAACGCTGGACTTTCAGCGCCTACTTTCAGGCCAGCTTTCTCCTCGTTTAGGCAAATGGATTGTGTGGAAGGAAAGTTTGGGGTATTTCCACTTTCTGAAGTCACCTTTACAAGCCTGTCCCCAGTGGCCCTGGACCAGTTTCAAGACTCACTCAAACCTGTCTGTACATTCCCAAAGAACATTTCCCTCCTTGGGTGAATCTTGGGAATTGTATCTACTCAAATTGTATTGACCAGAAAAGGGAACAGAAACATGTTCACAAAGGCACATAAATGCAAAGGAGTCAGCTGCTGCTCTGTGCACCACGCCTTGTCCAAAGGCTGTGGCCCTGCGCTGGGCAGAGCTCCATCCCCAAACACTGTGCTTTCATAGTGGTGGGGTGGCCCTACCTGGATAGCCAGGAAGCATGGAAACTCATGGGTCAGGGATGTGGGTAGGTACAGCTTTTGCAAGGACGTGGTAAGTGTAACCCCTGCTAAAGGGCACACTCTGTCCAAGGATACACACACTGGTAAGGCTTCCTGCCCACCCAGAACAAACAGCCAGCCAGAGCTTCCCTAGCAAACTCAACATCACAAAAGGCCAAAGATGGAGGAGGCATGTCTGTGCTGTTATAAAATGTCAGGACCACTGTGATGTCAGGGGAGGACAAGATGAGATGACCTTAGCAAAGCAAGAAGGACATTGCCCCTGGCCACTGCTAATGTGTCCTTTGCTACAAAATGCAGAACATGCACACTTTTCACACAGAGGCTTGTGGCCCATTGGCTCTGTGAGTCTGGAGGACAAACTTTCCTGAGACAGGAGCTTCTTTCCGAGAGCCCATCATTAAAGTCACCTTGGAAGACCTGCTTCTGATGGTTTTATCATAAGCTAAGTTGGGAGGTTACTCCTTGGGCAAGACACCACCCTCCACAGGCTGGCACTGTGGTCCACTGTCAAAGAAGATTCATGCTATCTCCCTAAGGTGATACAGGTCTGTGCCATAGGTTTGTTTCTGAAAAGGCCATACTTATTCATGGTTCTTTAAATCAATGCAGAGTTAGCAATTCTTTGAAGGATGTTCTGAAGTTCCCTGATTTTCCAGTGCTGGATGAAGGCAGGGACAAGGTGGCCATTAAGGGTTCCTTTGGGACACAAGGGCCACCAATGTTTCTCCGGTGGCCTGGAATTAAGCCTATAACTGAGCAGATTTACTCTGACTGTGAATAACCTGAGAGACAGAGGTAGAAAACCAGAAATGTGAGGTCATCCCTGATTCTAAATGCTTCTCAGTTGGTGGAACCCCATCCTCACCATTCTAAACAACCACCTCCAAAGTACATTTCTATCTAAACCGAGATCTAAGAGCAATAGAGTGGTTCAAATGCCTGCATGGGACATAGGGAACATTGACTCAGACTCTTCTTGTCTTATGTTTAGGAGACTTGGGCCAGCTATAGCATTAATCTGCATAGTGTTCTGAAGTTCAAATAAGAAAACTAAACACACTACAGCAGTACTCTATATTTTCTGTTCATACAAACATATGCACATAAATGCACAGAGAAAGTTCTGGAAGGAAGGATTCATACCCAACAAAGGGGGTATCCATACCACACCCCTAGGGAAAAGGGGTATCAAGGGGTCAAGATTGGCTAGGATGGGGGTGGTACGTCAAAGGGAACTTTTTTTATCCTCACCCTCAGACATTTTTATTAATAGCCATTGATTCCAGAGAGAGGGAGAGGAGGGAGACACAGATACAGAGAGAGAGAGAGAGAGAGAAACATCAATGTGAGAGAAGCATCAGTGGGTTGCTTCCCAAATGCGCCCGGACAGGGGGCGAAACCCGCAGCCCAGGTGTGTGCCCTGACGGAGCATGGAACCTGCAGCTCCTTGGTGTATGGGATGACGCTCCAACCAACTGAGACACAGCAGCCAAGGCTTAAAGGGAACTTTTAATCTCTCAATAATGTTTTCATCTTTTGCAAGGAAGACGTATTTATAAATATGTGTGCAATTTAAAATAATACATACATTATTAGTTTTCCATTGATGTGTAACATTACCACAGACTTAGCAGCTTAAAACAATACTCACTATCACAACATTGTGTAGGTCGGAAGTTCAGGCACAGTGTGACTAGGTTCTCTGTTCAGGGTAGCCCAGGCTGAATCAGGGCATGGTCTAGGCTGCATTCCTTTCTGGAGCCTCTGAGGAAAAAAATCCTTTTTAAGATCACCAAGGTCATTGGCTAAATTCAGTTCCCTGTGGTTGTAGGACTGAGGTCCCCATTTCCTTGCTGACTGTCAGCCAAGGGTCCATCTCAGCTGTGGGGACTGCCTGTATTGTTTGCCATACGGCTCCCTCCACCTTCAAAGCCATCAACAGAGAATCTCACTTGTGTTCAACTGAATGAAATTGCACACTTCACTCTATTCTCCAGGAAGAGCCCAGTCCCTTTTAAGGGTTCACTTGATTCGGCCAGGTACCCCCAGAATGGTCTCCCATTTTTAAAGTCAACTGTGCTGTACGCATCACCTAATCACGGGAGTCACTGTCCCATCATATTTACGAGCTCCCATAATTACACCGGAGTGTGCACACTGTGGGGGAGCAGGAACGGGTCAGTCCTGCGGTTCTGCCTGCTGCACATGATAAGAAGGAGAGCCGTCTCAGTGGCTTAGAAGCCGTCTCAGTGGCTTAGAAGCCAAGCAGAGGCTTGATATGAATTTAGCTGGCATGCCAGTCTGCAGCAGTGGCTCTGGAGGTATGGGCTGGAGTCCCCTGGGGGTCTCCGAGACCTTTCAGGATGCCCATGAGATCACAAGGACTTTCATACTGATGTACACGATCTTTTGTTTTTCACTCTCATTCTCCCATGAAGATACGTTAGAGTTTCCCAGAAGCAGACACGGGATAGCACAACAGACTGAATGCAGAATATACAAGAATCCAGCCACTTTCTCTGAAGGCACACATTAAAGAGCTTTGCAAAAATGTAAAATAATGCCACTCTTCTTAGTATGCATTTTATTTTGAAACCTTTTAATTTTCATTTTGGAAACTTTTTTTCATAAAAGTATAATATTTATGTTAACATCAAACAGTAAATGTATTGTTGTTATTAATTTTAGATTATTTAGATAATGTTATTAATTTAGCTTTAAGTTCTATATAGTAACCGCCAGGAGATAAAATCACATAAACAACAGCTCTTTGAGATCACCAATCATTTAAACAAACATAAAGGTGTACAGGCCCGGAAAAAGTTTAAGAACCACAGATTGTGAGGAAATGTGTACTTTAGGTTCGTTATCCTTTTTTATTTGTATTTAAAGTTCCACTTCCTCCTTGATTCAAAACATGCATACCCCCATCCAAGACCCCTGTTGGCCACTGGTGGGATATTACAGACACCATGCATTTTTGGCCATTTTAAAAGGCTTTAAATATAACTTAACAAATTTAAATGATTGAGGAGATGGTTAGATAAGGAGCTGCCCATGGGGCATCTCTTTGGTTGTTTCTTAGAATCTATATTTTGTCAATTTCTATGAAAAATTCATCACCCAATTGTCAAGTTGCTCCACTGGAGAAAATGGTTAGATTGTTGATGCTTTGTCTGTGACGTGGTTTCCAAGCAGCCGTCTCTGCCTGACCAGGCTTTGGGTGGGTCCCAGCGGTTCAGGACACAGCTGTATCAAAGCTGCAATTTCTTGGCGGAGGCCTGATCACAGGGTGCCCGGTGTGGGCAGGTGGGGGGTGGCTAACATCTTCACAAAAACCTTGAGGACTGCTTTGCTTGGAAACCACACTTCCTGTTTCATTTATTTTCACTGCCTCTTTGCAGTTTGTTTCAGTCCTGACACAAATAAACAGTGTCAGGGAGGGAAATACACAGTGTTTGTTCCCTGCCCACCACTTCCGCAAGTTGTAAGTGAATCTTCTGAGGTAAAAATCACAGCCTCTCAGCTTCCCAGCCGCCCTGTAAAACAGTGGGCTGCAATTGGGAAAGCAGGAGGGAACAGGTATCTGGCAGGATGAGCCTACCTAGGTTTACATATTTCTCTATAAATGGGCCCTGATTTGTCTTACTCTGTTTTCTTCCGTGGGATTAAAATCAACCTCTCTTTTTGTAACCCCCACCTCCTCACTGATGTCTCACTGCTACTACCCAAGCCTCCTCCTTCCCGAATTATAAGCAAGCAGGTCACCAGCAAAGAGACACACTCTCCTTATAGGGTCCTTATAGGTTGCAGTGGTGAGCGTTTGGGGATGTTTCTATTTCGGTAGGTGTGGAGAGGAGCTTGGATTTGTTTAATAAACACTCCCAGAAAATCCTGCCGTGCTCAAGCCTGCAGGTGAACAGAGGGCTCTCTGACTGAGTCTAAAATGTCCCTCAGTCTTTCTGTGAAAAGAGAAACCAGAGGGGTGACAACCCAGGAGTGACATGAGAGAACGAGAGCCCATCTGCTGACCTCAGAGTGCTTGGGTAGAGTTCAGGGTGAAAGGAGGGTTAGTGCTGGCCATCCGCGTGGGTGAAGGGACCCAGAGTCTCTCTCCCAGCAGCTGAGAAGGGCCGAGAGGTCATCCCCCTTTCTGCCTGCAAGGGCCAGGATGCATTTACAGAGGAGTCGATACTGGGCCTTGAGTAACAAACAGAATTTTCTCAAACAAAGAAGGAAGGTTTTGCCAACGAGAGAAAGAAAGGGCTTCCCAGATGGGAAATAACAGGAAGAAGTCACTGAGGGGATGGCCGGGTGGGGAACAAGGAGCGAG